ACACAAATTAACAGGAAGATTCAAACATATTTCAAGAAATCAGGTCTGAATGTAGATATAAAGGAATTCTGTCAAAGGTTAGAGACCTAAAACTTTAATCCCTTTCTTTTCTCCCTTTGAACAGCAATTAAATACAAAAGTTTTCAGCAATAAAAATACCAAGAATACAAAATTTAAAAGCACATTACTATAACCTTAACTTCCGTATTTCCTCAAAACAAAACAAAAAAAAAACCAAGAAAAGAAAAACCCCAAACCAACTTTAGTATTCAGTGTCCGCAGGATGAAAAAGTTAATACTACCCTGAGAGGTTTCATTTTTATTTAAACAGTTAAATGTTTTTCTCACTTCACATAGAAACAAGTTTCTATATTTAATTTCTAATTAAAGGGGCTATTTCATAAAGAGTAGTAGCTTCTAAAATATAAAACTAGACCTTTTGATATGCTCATAAACACAGGGACTCCCAATTATCTATATTTTATTTTATTTTAGTCCAAATTTGTAAGAAGAGTCTATTTAAAAGCCACAAATCAAGGCTCTGAGTTTTAAACTTTTGGGTTATTTTTACACAAAAATATTTCGGTGCACTCCTCTAGATTTGAGTAGTCATTTCCTCATGCATCCCTCTAAAAGAGAAAAACAAAATGATATACATATGTACCTAATACTAATACATACAGATATACATCTTTTTCACTTTGAAACAAGCTTGAAAGCTTTACTTAGTATGAATTTTTCAGAAAGTTAGCAGAATCACTCAAAACATTCAAAACCTTAACTGTGACATCTGTTACTCTGTGTGTTAATGAGAGTCTATAGAAGAATCCGGGAACTTAAATATTCACTAAAATCAACTACTATCACATCAATGAAGAAATGAAGAAAAAGTTTAATGGGGGATACACATTTCACAGGATCTACAAAAAGAAAAATGATCTTTTTTTTAATTATGAGGAACTGCCTCCACAGCATTTTTTAAACATAGCTTCAAAACTGTAACAAAGAGCTTTTTGGTAACCACAGTAGCATTTAAAAAAAATTTCATAAATTGTTGGGGGTACACTTTTAATGTGCTCACTTCCCAATGATGCGGAGAACGTTAACGTTTTAAAGACAGAAATTTCTGTCCATGTATTAATTAGTTACCTATCTCAACATCTGCATGGCTTCTGACAATTTACAAAGAACTTTCATATGTATTATCTCATTTGATCTTCTGAGAAAAAAGTACAGTATTATGCCTAGAAAACCGACAAAATTCAAAGCAGCTTCATCAAATTTTCTACACATTCCTAAGTTTCTAAAACTTTGATACAAAACTATACAAGCCACCAAAGTAGCATGATATTCCCAGGGATAAATCAATTCACCTAACACTAATATAGTTTCAAAGGAGCATGTGCTGTAAATGCTATGAAACTACTTTCATCTTTATGCAGTTATTGTTAAGTGTTACTAACGGACATATCAGGAGTGACTTATACTCACAGATATAACTTTACTTACAGTTCAAGAATCTCAGTCTTTGGAGGCCAACTCAAATACATCAATCATACGTATTTATAAAGCTGAGTGCCTAAGAATTTATCTATTAAGATCACTGTCCATAGATGTGAGGAAAAAAACACAAGAAATTAAATTTTTTTCCATACAGTATCTCCCTTTCCAAAATCTCCTATCTCTGTATCCTATCTGTATTAATATTATAGGAATAACACAAAAGCTAAAGCCCAATCATACCAACTTCTTTTGTTTACAGTCCTTGGACACAATCTTTTCCCATTTGTGTTCAACACCCCACTCACCAATACAAGACTAACTCCTCCTCAAAATAAAGTAATTCTAACAGCACTCTGTACCTAAACGTGGCATTCTTAAGCTATCCACAATAACAAATCTACTTTGTGTAATATTGTAAGCAGGTAAAAAGCAATCAAAGATTTCAGTTTCAAATAGCGAATGTAATTTATTAATGGACTTTTAAGTGGACTTACTAAAAATCTTTCTGGAACTTTAAGGCATTAATCCTGTTGCTTAGTTGAAGCTAACAGAGCTGTAATAAGTAGTAAGACCCTCAAAATTCAAGAGATTTGCTGTATCTTGATGTAGCACCTCCTGCTGGATAGCATTCAGAGTTCTTCATGTAAACAGAAGAAGAGTATTTCTGAGGCAGCTGCTTCCAGATGACTGAATGGGAAAAAGGATGGACCCTTCGAAGCTAAAAGAAATAGGGCCCCGTCCACCACTTATACCTCTTAAAAAGAAAATCTGGTGTGGGTAGGAGTCTTTTAAATCTATTACTATTCTGGTTCCATAAGACCTGCCTGAGTCCAAAGTGCAACATGCTTAAATAAAGCTTGCAAAATCATCTAAAAACTACCTTAAAAAGCCTTCAAAAGCACTCAAGCAAAAGACTTTATTACAGCCAGCCAAGCAATGCCAGTCATATTGCAAATACCATTATGTTAACAAAAGCAAAAGTCTAACATAAAGAAAAACACCTGGAATATTTTTAACATATTAGCCAGAAGTTTGTGTTTTGAGAATTTTCTGCACCATTACTATGCTCCTTTTAAGAACAGTTGTCCATCTACAGAAGTTTTAAGTACAGAAATTTTCTGATAAACAGGAGTATTACTGCACACAAAAATTTCCTCTTTGCCATCAAGTATGCCCTGATATTTTAAAATGTATTTTTCAGACATTTTAAATAACCCCTAATAAGCTAGTTTTAAGCCCACAATGTAGATTCCATATACAAGTGAAGATAGAAAAAAAGAATAGAAAGGAACTTACCAAAATCAAAATGAATAATAGTATTTCCAGTAAAAATGTAGTAACAGTTTCCTTATAATGCTGTGAAACCAAGTAAATCGTGAAACTTAAAAAAAAGGGGGGAGGGGGCTACTCTTCAAAAACCAAAAGAAAAACTGACCTATTAATTTCTAGTGCCCAAATGTGATAAACACCAGATGTAAACAAACAACATAAGCACTGAAAAGTACACTTAGATGTCTTAGCCCCAGTTTCAGTCCCCTTACCAGGCCTTCAGTGAAGCCAGAGATGTTGATGAGTATCCTCTCTAAAAGGAGATATTCTAGCTCCCTGCCCTAAAGAACCCCTATAAAGTGTGCCTATGTAAAGGCTTCCTTCCTAGAGTGCACAGCTGCTTTTGAAAAAAAAAAAAAAAAAAAACTTTCATCAACCCAAATTAATCTGATTCTAATACTCAGCTATCAATTATTAATACAGGAATGTTCTCTCTTTAATGTCCCCAGCTTAAGCATCTACATTCCTGACACCTACTATTAACAAAAAATGCACAGCTCGCACCCCAGCTATGGGGCAAATCTCTGAAATCCAAAACACAGCCACAAAGTTCACTGTCAAGGCCAATGCTGAGGCCCACACACGCCCGGACCTTAACTCACATTTGAAATTCTAGAAAGCCACACTTGCAGACATCATTTAAAAACAACACAATGTGGACGTGCAGAGTGAGATCCTCTACTTCAAGACCTAAACAAAGAATATTTCAACATATGCCCCGAATATGATGACACCAGATTCACCAATGAAAACAAAACCTGCCTACCATTAGCAGTCGTACCTTCATCTCAACAACTCAACTACTTAGAAATCACTCTCAGCACATCTGCACCCTACAACCGGCGTGTGGCCTTCTCAGGGGGTGCAAGCCACAGACAAAGTTGAAACGAGACATTCTTCCCCCGGTGCCCAATGTCGATATCAACCCCTCCCCTACCAGGGCCACCTTGCTGCTACCCACCATCGCGAACGTGGTCAGGGGAAAAAAAGAAATCCTAACAGCACCGCTCAGCAGAATAAAGAGACCAAAGAGAGGATGACGAGAAGTGTTGGGAACTGCGTGCACGACGGGGCTGGACCAAACGGAAAGAGTCCCACTCCGCGCGCCCCTCCCCCCGGCGGGGGCGCGGGCGGGGGAGGGGCGGCCGCGGCCCCTCTCCGAGCGGCCTGCCGGCCTCGGCCCGCGCGGGGTCCCGGGGGCGCCCCGCGGCCGCGGGCGGCGGGGGCGAGTGCGGGAGGGCCGGGCCCGGGGTGAGGGGTGCAGGCAGACTCTCCGGAATAACAAGTTGCAGAAGAAGAAGAATAAGCGGAATTTCCCCAACGCTGCTCCGGCCACCCAAGACAAATGCACCAACACACACATACACACACACACACACACACACACACACTCGGGCCCGGCAGCGTCAGCAGCCGCAGCTTTTTTTTTTTTTAACCAGATCCCTCAGTCACCAAACAAGATGGTTTTCCAAAAAAAAAAAAAAAAATTAATTAATTAAATAATCATAATAAAAACTTCCCCCCGACAGCATCCCGAGGGGGGGGCAGGGTGGTGAAGGAGCCGAGGCGACCATCCCCGGGCTGAGGGACAGCCGAGGGGGCGGACGAGGCTCCGCGCCCCCCGCCCCCGCCGGCGGCCCCCTCCCCGGCACCCCGCCGGGACAATGTGACGCCCCCTCCCCGCCACCCCCGGCGCGCCGCCTCTGTCACCCACTTCGGCCCTGCACTCAGCGCCCAGGCTCCCGAGGCTGCTCATAAACTTACTTCCAATTTATCCTGGGGAGGGGTGGAGGGCAGAGGGAAGGAAGGGGGAGACAAGGTTTTTCCATTGTCTTTTTTTTAGGGGGGGGAGAAATAGGAAGGGCACGCAGGGGGGCGCCCCGAAGGGGAAGTTACTGCTCAAATCTCAAGTTGACTGAGGGGTCCTGACGAGAACACCCCCCTTTTCCCTCCTCCCTCCCACACACCCCTCCCCTCCCCCTCCCTCCCCCCCACAACAAACTCCAAGCAGGCAGCCCCAGTTCCTCCCAGAGACAAACACCAGAGACAAGACAGAGAGACAGGGAGAGGGGGAGAGGGGGAAGGGGGGAGGGAGGGGAAATAGAGCTACTCAAGAAAAAAAGAGGAGAGTGAGGAGAAGAGAGAATGGAAAAGCTGGGATACTGCACCCTCCTGCTGCTGGCTGGTTGTCCCCCCTGGCAGCTGGAGGCAGGAACTCTGAGCAGGAGAAGCAGGAGGAGGAGGAGGAGGGAACTCTTCTTCATGGGGAGGGAGGGAAGAAGCTGGAGCTGCTGCTGCTGCTTCTGCTGCTGCTCTGGGCCTCTCGCACTTTTTAGATATTAGTGTGTTAAGATGGTAGGTTGTTCCCTTCTCCCTCCTCCTCCTCCTCCTCTCCTCTTCTCTCCCTCTCTCTCTCTCACTCACTCACTCTCTCTCTCTGGGCTGTTTCTTTCCTCCTCTTCCCCAGGCAAGGGGGGGTGGGGAGGAGGGGGTGGGGGGAGGAACTGGATCCTCCTCCTCCTCCAGGAGAGACACACACAGGCCCCGGGCCGGAATAGGGGTGGGGGGGAATCAGAGCAGCAGGAGAGAAACTGTGGGAGACAAACAAGCCCAACTCTTCATCCTCCTCCTCCTCCTCTCAGCAGCAGCAGCGAGCACCACCAGCCCATTCACCACCCGGCCCCGGGCCGCAGCACCTCCGCCGCCTCAGCCCGGGGATCCCTCCGCCCAGGCCCAGACACACTCGCCCGCGCGGGAGCCCGCCGCGCGGCCCCGCCGGCCCGCCGCCGCCGCCGCCG